TTTTACGTAAAAGGTCAAATTAAGAATGATCAGTCGTCTGCGAAATAAATGCGTCTTTCATTATTTCTGACATCTTGTCTTCCCCCACATTTCCGTGCAGGTAAGTAATTCCAACAGAGAAGAAGTTGACTTCAACTCCTTGTCAAACGATCTAGAGATAATACATTATTCCCTATTATTCCTAACTTAGTGGTAATACTTCTCCAAATTTTACATGATTGAAGTTAATAAAATTTCAGGATCCAAAACGGCCACGTATTTCATCCTCCAGCGGTAAATTTAACTTGAGAATATGATACTCAAAGGCTTAAAACTTTACAAACTTTATAACTATCGTCACCTTTTTTATTAATAATTTAATGTTAGTCTCTTTGTTACCGACAAATTTTTTTTTTTTTTTAAATATTTTTTCGAAAATCTCCCGTCCATTATGCATGGACTCGATTAGCCCATTATCTCAAGTTAGGTTCGCCTAGGAATTAAAGTAGAAGCATGATGGGCTTGGAGGCTTCCTCTGTCAAATCTACAAGTATCAAAACTTACAACAATCCAGAAGCCGAGTTGTAGCCTGTTGGACTTGAAACACCAGACAGTCCAATCTTGAAACAATACCCAACCCAAAAGGACTGCAAGAAACAACAATCACCGTTAGTCTGAACTTCCAACCTCCGATCACCAAAACAGCAAAACGAAATTCCAAAGCACCGTCTCGATTCCAACTCCACTCTTATCTGGTTTTCTTGAGGGAACATGACGGTGTTTCACTTCTTCAATTGTGCAATTTTAACGTTCGGCCCTCACGCCGTTTACTACTCCGCTACTCCCTTGTGAGTTTTCTTCTCCAATCTCCCTTTACTGTTATCACAATTTCCCTGTTGTTTAGAGTATCCCTTTGATCTGTTTTAACGAACCCATGTTTTATATTTTCAATTAAAATGTTGTATTAATTGTACAACATAGCTGTTATTAGCTTAAATTGTCATTATGCATCTGGGATTTTTTTTTATAAAAAATTAGAGGTTGTGATTTAGTTTGATTATTAGTTCAAGTGGGATACGTGTACTCAACGAGACATCCATAATTGTGTAGCTTACAGTAATTAGTTGGAGTCTATAATTATATCAATAATCGGGCTTTTTTTTTTTAATTTGACATTAATTGTGTTTGAACCAGGGGAATGAGAATAGGTTAGTGCCATAGCATTGAAGGAAACCTAGTCTTTAGATGCAATTTGTTCTATATTTTACCTTTTTGCTATGCTTAGTTGCTGTATGAGTAATATCTTTTGTTTAAGCCAACAATCCAAATTAAATGACTCGTTGTTCAATTGTATTTGGCCAGATGAATTTTCTTTGTATATCTAGTTGCTTAGCAGTATGGGAAAAAGTTGGAGGAGTTATAAAATGATGAGTCAGTACTAGTATGTGGATTTTGGATTCTACCCCAAGGACTTGCAAGTTTTTTGATAGGACATGCGAGATGTGGATACTTATTCGAGATTTATGGTTTTATGTGTTTTCTTAAGCTTTTTGTGTTAAGGCCCATTAGGGATATTGTATATGTAGCAAATTGAAACACTCTCCTGTAAAATGGTGAAGGTCCGAGTATGATACGCTTGGGACTTCCATCAAAGCTGCTGTCGTTTATCTTGGAACAACTCTCGTAAAGGTCAGTACTTGTGCACTCGTATCCTTAACGTGAATTTGAAGTTCCACCTGTCAAATAAATGTGAACTTTGAAGATAACATTTCATTCTTTTCCAACATTTTCTTCGCAGCTTGTTTGTCTGGCTACATTTCTTAAAGTATCGGAGAGTGATAGTTTTGATCCATATCAGGTAGTTTTCGCCGCATTTCTCTTCCTTTTTGTCTTATATGCTATCATATATTCTCTTATTGGTGGAGCTTAGGTTGTGGATGGAGGATCATTTGATGATTGTGTCTTTGTTTGGATTATCTTTTGCCAAATTCATTGTATTCTTTCATAACGTTTGGCGATTTCCTGTGTTAAGAACTGGTTGACATTCTGTTTTAATGCATACTGCAGGATCTTGTAGCTTAATTTTACAGATTACAAGCTCTAAAACGCAGGCGGATAATTTTTCTTCCATTTTTGGTGAAAAAACCCCTAAGTTCATTTTTAGCTGATTCAGAATAAGTCTCATATGTATACTAATTACGTGCAAAACTGAGTGTATTTTATGCCTCATTACTTTTTGTCTGATTCACGTACTATATATGTCAAAGGATGACTTGTATGATGACATATGTAATTCTTGGTTCATATTCCCATTCTGATGCTTTTTACATGTGTTTCATCTGTACTGTATTCTGAAAGTGAAAACGATATTAATGTGTTTTATCTATTTTTTTAAATAAAAGGGGGATAGACCATTTGTATTCCTTCTTAGGAACATTCATTGCTGTAACAAATCGCATCCTTGCTCTTATACTGATTATTCTAAAAAAAATTGACGGACAGTTTTTTGTTTATTCTAACAACAATGAATTTCTTTTGGACCAGGAATTATTGAAAGCTTTAATCGGGTTTATAGATGTTGCTGGGCTTTATTTTGCCTTGACGCAACTGACCCACAGGAACATATCTCAAAATCACAAGTTTCAGGCTGTTGGACTGGGTGAGTAACTTTAATTTCTCCATGTGAGAAGCTCTTATCTTCTCTCTTTCTTCTTCTCACCTAGGAAATTGGACTTACAAGACACTGATGTATTTGCTCTATCACTGGATATGTTAACTCAAGTTGAAAAGAGTGGTAGTGCTTTTACAATTCATCCTGGACCAATTTGATTGAGCATTGGGTTTGATGTTGGCCATGACTGGATTGTTATTGATCTTGCTTTTCTTCAATAGTATATGTTGTTACATATTCCAAATAGTCACAAAATTCTCTCTGTTCCAAACTCAATAGATTACCATAACACAATGGGAAAAAAAAGGAAATTCTTAAGGTTCACTATGATAGGCTGAGAACAAGCTAGCTTGTCTAAAATGGGTGTGATGATTGTACACTTAGTATAACTTCCTTATGAATAAAGAGATTTAGATTTTTATAATCCAGTGTTTACAAACTACCATAATCCTAATTTATGTAGCATTAGCATTTGAGCATCTTTGTCGTTAGAAATCATGATATCATAGAAGGATATATTACTCCATGTTTAGACTGATTATTTATCGGACACTCATGTACCCCTTGATATGTTTATTAGGATCACTTCCTCAGTTACCTACAATATCTGTATATTATGCGCTTTTGCAGCTGTTTGTTCTTGATGAAAGCAACCATGTTTAAGCATGTCTTCTTTTTCTTCCAAACTTTAAACATGACTCATGAAATAGGATGAAATCTAGTGGTGGATAGATGACCCTGATTTTGTGCTAAATAGTTCATTGTATTTCTGGATAAATGTTCTTGATTTTGCACTAATAGTTCATTTTTTGCATGTCTTAATACGATAAACAATTTATATGGTGTGCAAAATTATTTGTGTCAGTCTTGGGATTGGTATGTGTAAATGTCATGTATGGCATATTTTAGTTTATGTATTGTATTAATTCTTGTAATTGCATATGATGACTTAGCTGAAGAAAGTAAAGCTGCTAATCTTGCTACACGTTTTCTTAACATCGAGGTTTATTTTTCTGTTGACAGGGTGGGCTTTTGCTGATTCTGTTCTTCATAGGTTGGCACCCCTTTGGGTAGGTGCTAGAGGTTTAGAGTTCACATGGGACTACATTTTGCAAGGACTAGAAGCAAATGCAAATTTGGTAATCAGTTTCTGTACTTGATAATTTAATTGTTAAAAGTTCAGTCGCGATATAGGATTACATGTTGGAGTGCATGATATTTTGCAGACAATGAAAAGTTGTGTACTTGAGACTTTTCTAGTCCTTGAACTAAATCCTTTTCCTGCCGTGTTGTTCTCTGTTTATTCAGGTTTTGAGTATATCACTTGCAGCTTTGGGGTCTTTGATGTGGCTTCGGAAGAACAAGCCCAAGACATTGATCCCTATCATATACACGTGTGCAGGGATTGTTGCGACAATGCCATCAATAACGAGGTTCGCTTTTTCCTCACTTATTTCCTCCTCCACTTTTAAATCAATGGATGTTAATTTTTCAGTGTTGGTGGGCGTGAATTGAATTCCCACATTGACATGGTTCTACATAACAAATGCGAGTGCATGAATGAATATTTAAACTACTCTTCAATCCCCAAGTGAAGATAAGTCCTAGAGAATTGCAGTAGTACAATTCCGTAAAGATTGGGCTTTCTTCTGCATCATCTGTTGCATAATTTAATTTTGAAGTTGGCCTCATGGAACTATGTTATTGCTGCAGCTACTTGAGGCGAGGTTTGGGATGGCAGTTACCGAAAGTAGTAGGCTTTGAACTTTTCACCTCTTTGGTGATGGCTTTTATCAGCTGGCAGCTCTTTGCTGCATGTCAGAGGCCATCCAGCTAAGCAACAGCGAATTTACAGATGAGGAAATGGGCTAGTTCTCTGTGGTACAAGCATTCTTAATGATTGCCTTTTTCTTTCGAGGCTGGTTTAGGAATATAAAGGCGTTGTATCTTTCTCTCGTGGAATTTCATGTCCCAAGGGATTTTGGATTATGCATTTGCAAAATTTTGCAGCGATATGCAGTTTAGGGGGTCCTTTTCCAACAATCACTTCGCAGTTTACATGTGCGGTTGATGGATCTTTCATTCCAAAATGACTTGAATGCTCCATCGCTTTTTTAGGCACTTGAAAAAAGGTTGTTGTTACCTCATATCTCTTTCACTCAATCCACAAAACCATGAAACTAAAACCTACTCCTCGTCTTAAAACCCACTTAACAAACATAGATAAGAGTGCATATTCTGAAGGTGAAAAAAGAAACAAGAAAACTTGGCGAGCTGATCAGCGTCCCCAAATCTGACTGACAATATAGTGCTAATGTCGCCATTTACTGTCACCCATAAAATGTAGAACTAATGGAGAATTAACCTGGGAGTCCATTTGATCCAACCATACAAGCTGCTAGGAAAGGATAAGAAAAGGATGACTACACGCATGAAGAGTAAAGTTCTAGAGAATATACAGCATATTTTGTTTCAAAATGGATTAAAAAGCACACACAAGAAAAAGGATGGAAGAGTTTTACCCTCTCTCTTACAGAAGTCACTGCAAAAGCAAAAACCATTAAACGGATCTGAAAATACTTCAAAATAAAGGCCTGCATTACATCCAGGTGCATTAAACACATCTAAGCATAGCCAAACCCAACTTCCAAGCTCAAAACGTTAATGCCCTTCTTAATTCTTGCCCTCATATCTTCATGGGCTTCCTACCCTTCAGATTGATCGGAGGCAGCCGAGTAACCGGAATCACACCCTCTACCACTTTGAAGATGCTGACGTCCATTACTATGTCATCTGTTGCTGCTCCGGTCACAAGGTTGAACAGACACACATCGAATTCTTCAAGGAAATTTTCATGTACAAATCTTTTCCAACCGCCCGCCAGTCCACCTGTACGATAATCCCTCTTATAGAACCTCACCTTCCAAGTTTTGTCTTTCACTTGGAGTGTAAGATCTTGGCTTCTGTTCGGCATATATTTCGTTGCCCATTCAGAAGGAATTTGCTGCCATTACAATATAAACAATTAAAATCTTCAATTCTAATCATATTTCAAAGATAGGAATACACAAACACGTACATTCAAAAGAAAGTATATAACCAGAAAGAAAGGTTATCAGCAAAAGTTTACCAGATAAAATCCCCTGTAAACATGTGTCGGCCGCATGACAACTATAAAGGAGTTTTCAGATGCTGATGCACATGCCATCTTTAGGGCCTCATCTTTATCTTCCTCAGTCACTTGCCTCCTGTGCGACGCCGGGCCAGAAAAAACACTCCGATTGATGGAACCTTTTTTTTTTTTTTTTTTTGAAGTCAGAGTAAGTCAAAAAGCATCACATTGAAATGTTGGATTCTTCCCAACAACTGAGTGAAGAGTTTTTTACTGCATTTGACATTATAACAATCTAAAACCAACGATGTGCTACAGGAATTGAAACCATTATAGACTTTTTCTTTTAAGCTATGTATCCGGCACCACAAGGCTCTTAACTAAATTTGGATTTCTCTTAAGATACTTACTACATGTTCCCCGTTGCCGTCCTCGAGACCTTGGCGGCAAAGCACCATGCTTTCTAGGTCTTTTTGATGGGGTAGACTCAGAAACGTCGTGTGAAGCTTCATTAGTAACCTCAATAGTTTCTGTAGGATTATCCTTTCTTTTGCATCCACCATCGGTCCCTCCATTCTCGCATCTTTTTATGAAATAAGAACTCTCTTTCTCGCATAAGCTTTGATAGTCAAACATCAAAACATCAAATCGCGAAGCCCCAACGTACTTAAAAATTAAGACATCATTTTCCTTCAGAGAGTGATCTACAACAAACTTTTTCCATCCTTCTTTCAAATACAGTGTATCATCAATCATTGTTAATCCAGCCTTCCATTCAAGGCCACTAGGACCTTTGAGTGAAACGGCTCCTACTAGCTTCTCTTTCAAATTGTTGGCAAATTTTTGGGGAATAGCCTGCATGTTTGGTTCAAATCACAAATTTTAGAGCACTGAATTTGATTGTGGGAGAGTGAATCAGATGAACAGAAATAAATAAATAAACATATGTGTGTGTGTATCTTGTTTTCGTTCCTGCTAATGGTGACGGTTCACAAGTACAACTTTCTTGAGAACAGATAATACTACCTATGTAGTGTATTTAAATTGAAAATTTTCTCTCATGTTGTTCTCAAGTTTATTTTCTTCTCCATTGTTCATCCCAACTGGTATGTGAATATACTGCTTCCTTTTTCCAATGTACTGCTAAAATGTACAAACGGGTGAGGATTTAAAGCCTATTTTTTGTAGATGAACAACCAAAAATTTTTTTTTTTAAATAATTACAATGATAAATTGAAAAAAAAAATTAAAATCATTACAAGTCAATTTCTATCTTGGATGATGAAAACGGGTTAAATTATCCAAATCCGGAGGAGCCAGCAGTCCCCTCCTTATGCATGGCAAGTAGCAGCAGGCATCTTTTTTCTATGTTTCTTTAGCCCTTGAAAGAATGCAGCTAAACTACGCAGGGGGAGGGGTGGGGGCGACTAAAAACTTACAAGTTGGTTTCGATAATTACGGCCAGAGAGAGTTTGAAAGAACTGAGCTGACTGAAAATGGGACCAGTAAATTTCTTCCTCCCACTTCCTACAGGCCCTGCCATCATCTCCCATTTTTCTTCCACTAATCAGCTTTATTCTTCCTCCTGAAATCGAACCAGACAAAAACAAGAAAAACCCTCAACCAGAAGCCAAAAATACAAAAAAAAAAAAAATGGAAGATCATTACAGATAGAATTGAGATGACGAGAAGGTAGAAACAGATGAGAGAAAATCTCAACCATAAAGCCAGAAGGTTACCTTGCCTAACTTTTTCTTAACAACGAGGTTTATTTTTCTGTTGACAGGGTGGGCTTTTGCTGATTCTGTTCTTCATAGGTTGGCACCCCTTTGGGTAGGTGCTAGAGGTTTAGAGTTCACATGGGACTACATTTTGCAAGGACTAGAAGCAAATGCAAATTTGGTAATTAGTTTCTGTACTTGATAATTTAATTGTTAAAAGTTCAGTCGCGATATAGGATTACATGTTGGAGCGGACGATATTTTGCAGACAATGAAAAGTTGTGTACTTGAGACTTTTCTAGTCCTTGAACTAAATCCTTTTCCTGCCGTGTTGTTCTCTGTTTATTCAGGTTTTGAGTATATCACTTGCTGCTTTGGGGTCTTTGATGTGGCTTCGGAAGAACAAGCCCAAGACATTGATCCCTATCATATACACGTGTGCAGGGATTGTTGCGACAATGCCATCAATAACGAGGTTCGCTTTTTCCTCACTTATTTCCTCCTCCACTTTTAAATCAATGGATGTTAATTTTTCAGTGTTGGTGGGTGTGAATTGAATTGCCACATTGGCATGGTTCTACATGACAAATGGGAGTGCATGAATGAATATTTAAACTACTCTTTCATCCCCGACTGAAGATAAGTTGTAGAGAATTGCAGTAGTACAATTCCGTAAAGATTGAGCTGTCTTCTGCATCATCTGTCGCATAATTTAATTTTGAAGTTGGCCTCATGGAACTATGTTATTGCTGCAGCTACTTGAGGCGAGGTTTGGGATGGCAGTTACCGAAAGTAGTAGGCTTTGAACTTTTCACCTCTTTGGTGATGGCTTTTATCAGCTGGCAGCTCTTTGCTGCATGTCAGAGGCCATCGAGCTAAGCAACAGCGAATTTACAGATGAGGAAATGGGCTAGTTCTCTGTGGTACAAGCATTCTTAATGATTGCCTTTTTCTTTCGAGGCTGGTTTAGGAATATAAAGGCGTTGTATCTTTCTCTTGTGGAATTTCGTGTCCCAAGGGATTTTGGATTATGCATTTGCAAAATTTTGCAGCGATATGCAATTTAGGGGGTCCTTTACCAACAATCACTTTGCAGTTTACATGTGCGGTTGATGGATCTTTCATTCCAAAATGACTTGAATGCTCCATCGCTTTTTTATGTACTCGAAAAAAGATTGTTGTTACCTCATATCACTTTCACTCACATTCGTCGTCTTAAAACCCACTTAACAAACACTGATAAGAGTGCATATTCTGAAGGTGAAAAAAGAAACAAGAAAACTTGGCCAGCTGATCAGTGTCCCCAAACCTGACTGACAATATAGTGCTAATGTCGTCTTTACTGTCACCCATAAAATGTAGAACTAATGGAGAATTAACCTGGGAGTCCATTTGATCAACCATACAAGCTGCTAGGAAAGGATAAGAAAAGGATGGCTACATACATGAAGTGTAAGGTTCTAGAGGATATACAGCATATTTTGTTTTAAAATGGATTAGAAAGCACACACAAGAAAAGGATGGAAGAGTTTACCATCTCACTGCAAAAGCAAAAACCATTAAACGGAGCTATGATAGAGCTGAAAATACTTCAAAATAAAGGCCTGCATTACATCCAGGTGCATTAAACACATCTAAGCATAGGCAAACCCAACTTCCAAGCTCAAAACGTTAATGCCCTTCTTAATTCTTGCCCTCATATCTTCATGGGCTTCCTACCCTTCAGATTGATCGGAGGCAGCCGAGTAACCGGAATCACACCCTCTACCACTTTGAAGATGCTGACGTCCATTACTATGTCATCTGTTGCTCCGGTCACAAGGTTGAACAGACACACATCGAATTCTTCAAGGAAATTTTCATGTACAAATCTTTTCCAACCGCCCGCCAGTCCACCTGTACGATAATCCCTCTTATAGAACCTGACCTTCCAAGTTTTGTCTTTCACTTGGAGCGTAAGATCTTGGCTTCTGTTAGGCATATATTTCGTTGCCCATTCAGATGGAATTTGCTGCCATTACAATATAAACAATTAAAATCTTCAATTCTAATCATATTTCAAAGATAGGAATACACAAACACATACATTCAACAGAGCACTTAACAAAGTATATAACCAGAAAGTTTATCAGCAAAAGTTTACCAGATAAAATCCCCTGTAAACATGTGTCGGCCGCATGACAACTATAAAGGAGTTTTCAGATGCTGATGCACATGCCATCTTTAGGGCCTTATCTTTATCTTCCTCAGTCACTTGCCTCCTGTGCGACGCCGGGCCAGAAAAAACACTCCGATTGATGGAACCTTTTTTTTTTTATTGAAGTCAGAGTAAGTCAACAAGCATCACATTGAAATGTTGGATTCTTCCCAACAATTGAGTGAAGAGTTTTTTACTGCATTTGACATTATAACAATCTAAAACCAACTATGTGCTACAGGAATTGAAACTATTATAGACTTTTGCCTTTAACCTATGTATCCGACACCACAAGGCTCTTAACTAAATTTGGATTTCTCTAAAGATACTTACTACATGTTCCCCGTTGCCGTCCTCGAGACCTTGGCGGCAAAGCACCATGCTTTCTAGGCCTTTTTGATGGGGTAGACTCAGAAACGTCATGTGAAGCTTCATTAGTAACTTCAATAGTTTCTGTAGAATTATCCTTTCTTTTGCATCCACCATCGGTCCCTCCATTCTCGCATCTTTTTATGAAATAAGAACTCTCTTTCTCGCATAAGCTTTGATAGTCAAACATCAAAACATCAAATCGCGAAGCCCCAACGTACTTAAAAATTAAGACATCATTTTCCTTCAGAGAGTGATCTACAACAAACTTTTTCCATCCTTCTTTCAAATATAGTGTATCATCAATCATTGTTAATCCAGCCTTCCATTCTAGGCCACTAGGACCTTTGAGTGAAACGGCTCCTACTAGCTTCTCTTTCAAATTGTTGGCAAATTTTTGGGGAATAGCCTGCATGTTTGGTTAAATTACAAATTTTAGAGCACTGAATTTGATTGTGGGAGAGTGAATCAGATGAACAGAAATAAATAAATAAACATATATGTGTGTGTGTGTGTGTGTATGTGTGTACATACATACAGATATCTTGTTTTCGTTCCTGCTAATGGTGACGGTTCACAAGTACAACCTTCTTGAGAACAGATAATACTACCTATGTAGTGTATTTAAATTGAAAATTTTCTCTCATGTTGTTCTCAAGTTTATTTTCTTCTCCATTGTTCATCCCAACTGGTATGTGAATATACTGCTTCCTTTTTCCAATGTACTGCTAAAATGCACAAACGGGTGAGGATTTAAAGCCTATTTTTTGTAGATGAACAACCAAAAATTTTTTTTTTAAATAATTACAATGATAAATTGAAAAAAAAATTTAAAATCATTACAAGTCAATTTCTATCTTGGATGATGAAAACGGGTTAAATTATCCAAATCCGGAGGAGCCAGCAGTCCCCTCCTTATGCATGGCAAGTAGCAGCAGGCATCTTTTCTATGTTTCTTTAGGCCTTGAAAGAATGCAACAAAACTACGCAGGGGGAAGGGGGGGACTAAAAACTTACAAGTTGGTTTCGATAATTACGGCCAGAGAGAGTTTGAAAGAACTGAGCTGACTGAAAATGGGACCAGTAAATTTCTTCCTCCCACTTCCTACAGGCCCTGCCATCATCTCCCATTTTTCTTCCACTAATCAGCTTTATTCTTCCTCCTGAAATCAAACCAGACAAAAACAAGAAAAACCCTCAACCAGAAGCCAAAAAAAAAAATGGAAGATCATTACAGATAGAATTGAGATGACGAGAAGGTAGAACCAGATGAGAGAAAATCTCAACCATAAAGCCAGAAGGTTACCTTGCCTAACTATTTACTTACTGGTTAAAGTACGATCACATACCATCCGATGACTTATTAAGTAAAATGATCGTCTAACTTGTAGACGTGGGACTGTGGGAGTGGAATTCTCAACTGATGGGGACACATGGCGGGATGTCGTACTCTCTCTTTAACACGGATATTGCATTTGCAATTTTGCTTTTTTGCATGCACCGAAGCCGAAGCGTAACCCCCGATCCATCCATTCATTCAATGGTCATTTTTGTTCCTCCCTCCATTAATTTGCACTCTTCCGTTACATTGCAACATCAGCATAGTGTGAGACTGAGGGCACTTTCCTCTTGTACGCCTGGTACTTTTACGCCAGTTTAACAGCCACTTGTTAACACATAAAAATTGAAGAGATGTTTCTTGAGAGGCAACATGAAATTTTCCCCTATTCTCTAAGTTTGTAACGTGAATAGGGGACATTAGAGTAATCAGTATAACTTCGACAGTGCATCTTCAGGTAATCACAATTAATTAATGAGAAACAAAAAATGTCCATTTGCAATGTGCTACTTGATTCCCATTTTTTTTTTCCGACTGCAAAATTGACTTCTTGATTTCCGGGGAGCCTGGATTGGAAGAGTTCGACCCATAATCAGACGATATTGAAGGTGCATTACACAATTTATCTGACGGGTTGCATGGAACTGGAACAGTCTCTATAGCTCCCCACCGGCCAAGTAACATTTCACTCTGGACTGGAGCCGTGTCCTGCAGAGGCCGGAAAGGAACGAAGCAAATTCCCGGAGAAAGGTTTTTTCTCATACAGCACCTTGAGCCCGAGATCCAACCCGGCTAACAGAGGCATTATCCAATTCGGAGTAGAGTTATTACTTACTAGCCATGCAATAAAGAGGACTCTCAAGCTCTCCCAATTTTCCTTCCTTTCCAATCTACCTTGAACACCTTTCTTTTCCCCCTTGGATAATCGTCTGACTAACTTAAAATGGTAAAAAATGATGTTAATAAAATCATGGTTAGTCACTACATCTATAACTACCAACATTTCCCAACCAGTATATTAGGAAATATGTACAATTTAGACCCAATCTCCAGAATTCTTCTCGTGTTCTATATACAAAAACATCGTGTCAGGAGCACAAGTCATCACCAAACTAGTGTTGCTTATATGACCAAGAAAGTTTAACAGAATTAACTACACTGCTGATAGAAGAAACTGCATTTTCAGTCAAAACACAAAGATAGAGGGCACATCCACCTTCCATGAAAACATTAGTTTTTGCCACTCTGATTCTATTAGCATCCCGGAATGCCAGTGCATAACAATGTTCTGGGACTAGCACTTCCAATTAGACCATAAAGCAACGTCTCATCTGCATAAACGTCTTATTACAATGCATCTACATTTTCTGATCTCACAACAAGATTTATCAGCAATTTAAGCAGATTGCAGGATATCTACAATTTACAGCAGCAACAGAATATCCACACGTGAGGAGCAATTTCTTGAGCCTGATACAAGAATCAATCATAGTGCGCAAATTCCTGGGGTACATGGACAAGAAAAACCCAAAAGGATACAGGTGCATGTAAAACCAGATTGAGGTTCCAGCATATTTCCCTCAGCTACTAAAACAAAAATTATGCACAGAAACTCCTGCTATCTCACTGAGCAGTCAGCATGAAAATTGGCAAATATTGCCTTCTCAACGTGAACCGGGTCCTTAGCCTGCAGACAAGAATTACAAATCACACCATAAATTCAACTGCAAAGAGGTGTAGATGCCAATGCAGACTGGGTGGGGAGGCCAAAGACCAACATTAGTTATATATTAAGCATCATCTTAGTACAAATCCTCGATCATATGTTCAATGCTCATTATTCATAAATATTCTGAACAACAGGCACCAAACAATCCACTTGACTACTAAACCACAACCTAATATATTTGGTCCTCTGTTTGCATATCTTATAAAGGTACACTAAAAATAAGCACTTAAACTGAAGAACAACCTTTCTTGAAAATCTATCCCTCTTCAATAAAAGATACAACCATGAAGCCAGGCCGTATTCTTAGACCCATTTGCACTGGATACTGGGAAAGTTTAACACGTCACCACAAAATATGTTCTACAAAATGACACCCACACCACAATTGAATTTAGAAGATTATTACACAGCACATACCAGAATACTAGAGGAAAAACTTTCTCATTCCTTGAACCAGCAAACGGTTACTTGTCAAGGAACAACAGCATTTGACCCTACTCTGCCACTTTGATAGTCGGACCCCTGTTGACCAACTCCAGATATGTGCACACGCAATTCATTCTTGCCTATTAGCTCAAAGATACAGATATCTCCCATTTGAATGTCATTATCACGAACAAAGGCCATCCAACCACCACAGAAAGTATGCAAAGTTTGCACCTTAATAGTTGGGATAGAATTTACAGTCCAGCATTTGCCTTTCAAATTACGTAAAATTACCTCGGTTCTGCAGCTTGGTAGGTGTTGCATTGAGAACTGATATGGGATTTTCTGCAAGGATGGCAGTCAATTAGTCGATATTGATGACTGAGTATCAAATTTTTGAGCTGTAAGTGGATGTTTGAATAAGGAAAATACAGCTAATTACTCCTCAAGTTTCTCAAAGATTATCCGAAATTCTTGAAATTGAACTATATACCATATTTGTCAACTATCACGCGCCAATGACGAATAAGACAGGCAAAGGAATAATGAATGGATTGCTTTATTCATAAGCAGTTTGCTAAATTATTAGCTAAGCATAAAAAACACCAATATACCGAAAGCAACAGAGAAAATGCACCCACCAGAGTGTATGATCCACTGACGTTGAACTTTTTCATTACTCTGACAAAATGAGGAAAACTGGAAAGAAATGATTCTGCTGCTAATTTTTCTTCAGGTGCAGACTTCATTGATATGCAACCCTTTGTATGAGAACTCGATCTGCCTTGTGAGCTCGTTTCATAGATCACTGTTAAACTTTCAACAGAATAAACTTCACCAGAAAAGAATGCAGTTTGCTCAAGAGAAAAAGCAAAAATCATGAACCTGGTTTCAGCTATAGCAGAAAATTAATAAATTACCTAATTCGCCACTTATGGACTCATTGCCACATTTCACTTTGATTGGATCATGTCCCTTCTTATCAAATTTTTTTAACTGCTGTAAAGATAGATTACAAGGCTTTGTACTAATTTTCATTGTCTTGCGTCTCGAAATTTTCAATGGCATGGCAAAAGAGCTATTAACCATCATTTTATGAGCTTCATTCTCACTACGATCATTGACACCCTCCCTTCTGACCCGTACGATGTGTACTCGCAGCTCACACTTGTGCACAAGTTCAAAGATACATATGTCTCCCTCATTTATATTGTTATCACGAACAAAGCCCAACCACCCTCCACAGAAAGTATGTGATGTTTGCACTCTTGTCGTGGGGATCGAATTAATAGTCCAACTCTCTCCTTTTAGATTGTGAAGCACAATCTTGACTTTGCATTTGGGAAGGTGTGCCATGGCAAACTGATATGGAACATTCTGCAAGATGAAACCAATTAGCAACTAAACTTTGATACTTTCTAAAAGTTGAAGGAAAATAGAGGGGAAGAAAGGATGCTTGGCATTATAGCTGCATCACTTCTTTCAGATGAAGGTAAGTTATGCACATGAAAATAAAGTAGACCGATTCACAAATGAATGAAGTTCCACATGGAAGAGACATGACATAATAACCTAGGCATGTACTGCTGACCCCCTTAGTAAAGGCTTGGAAAGTCATTGAAGACATATATACTGCTTTATCATGTTCAAACTAGACGTTCAAGTACTACTGTATGTCCTCACTCATAGATACCACAACTAGGAAAGATGCAAACTGTTATCAATGCAGGTCTATCAATTACATGGCAAAGAAAGGAATGGATAACTGGTAATACAACTCAAATGATACAACTTTTTCCCTTTTACAAACTCATAATTGCGGAATGATTTTATCCTTTCACAAAGACACGCTACACACAATAACAAATCCACAGTCATTTCACAGACACAAGCATTGAGAGAGAGAGAGAGAGAGATAGAGAACCACTCACCAGAGTATATGAACCACTTATATTGAATCTTTTCATGACTTTCATGAAACAAGGTAAAGATGAAGTAAATGCTCGGGCCACTCTCTCAGCTTCTGGTGCTGACAACAGCAAATCTTCCTTGCCTGTCCTCTCACCTGTTGTTGCTTCTGTTACAAATGCATCATGGATTAAAGGAACTTAACATTAACCTTTGTTATGAATTATGGAAAGAACAGTAACAAGGTGATGATCAATTGAACTTTTCTTTTTTGAGTGTACTGACTGAGACTCAAGGTTTTTTTATTTTCTTTTCTTTTTTTTTTAGCCCCTATCTCAAGAAACAACCATAGCTTTGTTGCTCCGATGCAAGCGTATTACTCAGCATAGGTGATGATAAATTGGTATTCTACACAACTAATAGGTTGACTGTGTTATGAAGCAAACAGCTACAGCAAAATCTCATGCAACAGTTAGAAGTACCTGAATTTCTTACAGATGGCACAGCAATGGTGACAGAGTTCTTTAAAGTGCAGCTACCATTCTCTATTTGATTGAGAAAGTTTGGCTCTTGACACCTTTCACTAAAGTAACCGGCCTCTTCTTCTGCGCATTCGTTCTTATCAGTTAAATCTCTATTAAGTTCCTGAATTGTGGATATGCATTGAGTATTAACTTGAGATGTCCTCACTCTCTTTGGAATCCCTTCAATAATGCAATCTAATAAAGCTGAATTCTCTCTGTCTCTTTTCTTCATTAAACGGCAATTATAGTTGCTTGGAGATTGACTGCATTCACAACTGAAGGTGCTTTCTTTCTCACATGAACTTTTGTCAAAAACTTGCACAGTGAAGTGCAAATTGCCATCATATCTGAATACCAAAGAGTCACCAGATTCCAAGGAGTGATCCCTAACAAATGCTACCCATCCATCTTGGAGGAATAAATCATCGTTTTGCTGGGTTAAGTTAGCATACCAGGTATTCCCACTAGGACCCAATAAGAATGCTGTTCCTGGTGTTGTTCCATCAATGTGCTTTTTGAATTTAAATGGAAGTTTCTGCAACAGAGATAAACCAGAAACTTTCACTTGCGCACTACCAATTACAAGGGGGAACAAAGTCTCAACTCATCTAAAAGATAGCCAAGACGAAGTATAATGAAAATTCTCTTATTTAAAGCATTTCCTCTCCATGTCTACAGGAGTCTGCTTTTCAGCAAACCTTTTTAATTGTTCATACAAAGGTCTTAAGAAAACTATCAAAGCATCTAAGAGTATCAGTAGAGACTCATCAACCTCTAAAGATCGAATTGATAGAAACCTAATACAAAGGTTTGAGAATGCTTGGATCAGCATGAGAGCCATTTTCTAGCAAATCGCTGTTGAAACAACTGTATTATGAAATTCTTGCCTTTAAAATCATGCTGTCCCAAATAACCAGCCAAACTTTTTCTTAAATCAAAATAAACAAAGGTATTGGGCACGTTTATATCATTAGTCTGACACATGACAAATATTCATGCAGTATCATTACTGCATTTAAAAAAGCGAACCAAAAAGTCATATACTTCTTTTCGTCTTCTTTTCTAAAAGAAGTAATGAAATGCATAAAACAACTTCAGCAAGCCAAAATCCCATCAAATTTAACTCCACAAACACTCAACACAATTCAATGGTTTTGCTTTAACTTTATCAATCGTCTAATCTGCTTTTGGTTTGCACTTTATTTACACCTTATATACACACACTGACTTACTTACATTGTCAACAAATTTTTCAATTATCTTTTTATCTTACATACATCACATCAAAAAAATGCTGTAGCATTTTTTTAAAAAAATTATCCCAAATAATCTCCTATCCAAACACACTTCACTCTGGACCTCCAATTGAGCAACCAAATGGCAAACCCAAGTTTTGTTTATTCTTGGTCCTTACCACATTGAGCTGTAGAAGTCATTAAACACTCGGACTAACAGATAGCAAGGCAAATTACAAATGAAAGCACCTCAAAAACCAACTATAGAAACCAATTATAACAATGAAAAATCTCTAAGCCAGTTCCATTTTCAAATCTCAAATTAAAAACTATTATTTACCACATTATGGACAACCAGAAAGCTTTTGTACATAGAGACAACGGTTATATAACATGCAGTTCCCATTTTTGCATTAGCAATGTAACAACCAAAAAAAAAAAGGAAAATAAAGAACAAAGAAATGAGAGAAATTTTTCGTACCAGTGCTTCAGAACTGGAAGAAGGATTGAAGCCCACAAGAAAGTGAGGTTTCTTATCATCCCACATCTTCTCCACAATTTCCTCTATCCAATTTCAAACGGGTTTTAAATGCAAATAAAACCCTATGGGGAAAGCCAAGAACTTGGTCTTTTTTCCCAGTGCAATTCTGTTACGGATCACTCTTAAAGATTTGGGTGTTTCCCAAATCACAATTTATGATTATTGATAGCAGCACTACATTTAAGTGCAAAAATATTTCTGTACAAAAGGTCGGGGAGAGAGAGAGAGAGAGAGAGGTAGAGATAGTACTGTGTTGTAAGAGAGATAGAGAGAGAGAGAGAGAGAGAGGTAGAGATAGTACAGTGTTGTCAGAGAGAGAGAGAGAGAGCGCGCGCGCGTGGGGAGAGAATTGCTGATAATGTAAAAAAACTCACATATCAAATGTTTTACCCATATAATAGAGGGGGGCATCAAAGTCCTTTCGACCAAATTCGCTCCGAAAAATAAAAATCTTTGTACTAGAGATTAGTTACAAATTCTAAGGTAAATTCCAGTTTTTAATCAGTCCATTCTGCCTGCGGCTGCAATGTAAATATGCAATTGCTGAAGTTTCTGCTATGCCTTCCCTGAAGCACTTGGATTTTACCTTTACTCTCTTCAAGATTTTCTACTCTGATCTGTGATGTTGTTAATCAATGATAATCTTGCACAGTTGGGTAAACTTGTAATCTTGGCGGTTGGAACCTCAAATCTTGCATCGCATTCTTACCTAAAAATCACATTAGCATATTTTGCTGCCTTGCTAGTTCTAACACTCTCTTGCTTTAGGGGAACATTCTTCACTTTATCAGCCATCTTCGGCATTGGTTAATTCTGTTAATTAGCTATGTGCATTTTCTCGAACTCCATATTTATGGTTTGACAAATTATGTAGTGATGATCCACAGCAAGACTGTTCATCTGGAACCGGGCAAAAACATGTGAAAAAATATATATATATATATATTCAAGAATAGAAACCAAATTCAACAAGAAGAAAAACTTCCTTTGCTTGGATTAGATTAGAATCATTTTGTGTCTAGTAGAATTCCAGTACCGACGCGAATGTCTAAATATACATTCCAATGTTTGATTACAGAATTGAGGGAATGCCACGTCCAAAAAGTCAGGAAGTGGATGGAATATTGTTTGACAGGACTCGAACATTCATGACGGCATTACTGGGACTTCCAAGAGTAGTGGAACGATCAAGTTCAAATAAACAAACATCGTCTATCTTGAGCTGATTCGACATATGAAAGTCGCCCCAGCCTTTTGCCATGACAACTTGTGTATAAGCAGCTTTATAGCCAGTTCTATAAGCTGTAAGTTTCACTTGCCATTCACCTCCCGAAGCATTCCTGAGGGTCACGCTAGTTTTCTGATTCAGATACTTGGAGTTCACAAATTCTGAAGGGATGGTCTATTATTCATCAAAGAAATTAATCAACACAGACTAGGATGATGGAGAAAATGATAAATTCCAAGATGATAAATCAATCAAGAACAAATTGTGCTCACCAAGATGTTGCAGCGGAGATTACGTCGATTTATTGTTATACGGAAGTGGGGATTGTCAGGGTAATAAGACCCTACTGCTTCCTCCGCTTCCTCCTCTGCATCTGAATAACCACATTTTACATCAGCTATCACAGTGGAAATTCTTTTAACCCCAAACATTCTATTGTTGTTTACGTGAAGAGTATTAGTAGAGAGTGTAATATAATTTAACTCACCCTTGATGCCTGCTACATTTGGAAGGGTACGAGGTTGAGCACAAGGTACTTTGTTTGTTGTCAAGTTCTCAGAACCCGCAGAAGAGTAGTCCTTCTCACAAGCACTAGGGTCAAATACGTATGTTTTGAACACCATCCCACCAGTATGTTCAAAAACCATAAAATCTCCAAATTTTAGTTCATGATCATGGATGAAACTCTTCCAACCCTTTCCACCGAGGGTTAGTAGCCCGTCGCTGCGTTTGCCTATCGTAACTTCCCAAAACCCTTTGCGGCTTCCTAGAAACGCCTGCTCTGGAATCTTTTCAGACAGCTTCCTACAGAAACGTGGAGGAAGCCTCTGTATACCATGGAAAATGATGAGAGGATGTAATGAAGCATAAATTAAATTTAAGATTCTAGACAAGTTGATTGGTGAATACACACCAGTTCTGCTTCAAAGTCAGGTGCTATGAATTTGAAGAAGCGACTGACAACCCGAGATTCTCCCTGATGTAGTTATTTTAAACTGTGTAAGTGGAACATTTCGTGTCTAGAAATAATGGATCTAGCTGTTTTTAACTATAGATGTCTATCATCTTGTAACATTAAACCAAATTAAATTGTGCTGTTGACTGTACCTGCTGATTATTTGTTGCGCAACCACTTCTCATTTTTCCGCCGGAGACACCTGTGTGGTCTCTGCCTCTGCACTCAATTGAAGGGTCTTGCAGCGTCAAGCCAGTGATAGCTATCCTCCCACCTTTTCTTGCATCTTTCTCCTGGACTGTTGTATCCTTCTTGCTTCTCGAAAGATGATTTCGCATGCTGTTTGATGATTCTACGTGGTAGGTATTGGTATTGCACTTTAGAAGCAGGGCTCTCTTTTCCTTTACAGCTTTATCCTTCCTTTTGGCCCTGCCAGTTTCCTAGCAAGGTAAGAAAAACCTTCCTTTTGGCCCTGCCAGGTCTCCACAAGGGAAGAAAAACCTTTATCTAATATTTCCTAGCAAAAAAATGGCGAAGTCAAACTGTAATTGGTTCTGTGAATTCTAAACAGTTTCTCTGGTTTTTCTATACTTGCTGTGCTTTTCAATGTCCTACAAATGAAACAAGTACCTGTGGCACCCCTATTAACTCATCCCACAAAAATAAATGGCCATCAAATGCTCTTAAGGTTGCTTTCTGATGGACGCAGACGTAGTAAACAAAATGTAAAACTAACCATACAAACCAAAAGAAAAATATGCTCACATGAAATATGCGCCTAGTGTTGCAGACTTGTAGTGGAGTTGAAAGTTAACCTCCGCTTGCGGTGTTAGTAATGTCTCACTTCTTCCGATCTCCCCTTTGCTGAATCTGAAGAATACTTCTAACTTTGTTTCGCCTTAGCTCTTGGGGTATATTGCTGGCTGAGTATCCTTTGTGGTGTTTTCTGTCTTGAGAAGAGAACCAAAAGCTTTCAAACTTCAGAGTTGTCAAATACTACATTGGGTTTCTTAATCCTTAATGCATTCCTCTGGGTTGTCCACCTCTCATTGGTTGCTTAGTTCCCTCTTTAACATTTGGAGAAGTACAATTTCCATCTTTTTGTTTGGTCAGAAAAGCAAGCCCCGCCAGCTGCTTCTGTAGTTAGTCGTCCTGATTTACACCGAAAGCCAGAGATGTCGGATCAGCTCACCTTAAAATGAAAGTTGAAAGAGTGATGCAGCAATGCTATTACTCTTTTAAGCAGAGTCATTAACTGCACAGGCCTGTTTCCCAGTACTCAAAGCTTTCCATATATATGCAATGGAAGCAGGGTTTCAACTTTCAAGGCAGCAGAATGGAAGAGAATGCTGAATGCTTTCCAGGGATGCATCAGCTAAGATGGGATTTAAAGTTGATTCTCCGTCTCCTGTTTTTAGTTCTAATTTCTAAACCCTCCGGATATTTGTGTGCTCTTCCAGTTTTCCTTCCTAAACCAGAGACATTAGCGAGCTCTAAGGAGAGCTTGAGGTGAATTTATCTGCCCGAATTTGTACGTGAACTAACTACTAATGCTATTTTCTATTGCTTACCAACCAAAACAAAACAAAAAAGGGGTTGCTACAGAAATAGGCTTCCAAGTGTATCAGGTCCTTAATTGCATAATTGGGCTTTTCCTTCAGTGCAAATGTACAATTAATTGCCAATGAGACCGTAATTGTTGGGTTGGTACTTTACCAGGTTTATCTGTTAATTAAGCTCTTTTAATTCAAAAGAAAGTGAAAAATTCCGTGTGTTCGAGACCTCTCACTCACACTAAAAAATAAATGCTCGTTGTACCGTCAAAATGAACTTTTAAGAACGTATGGTCCATTCCTGATGGCTGATCAGGAAAAGAGGTATGCGAAGAATGCGAAGGAAGCATGCGAAGGAGATCCCAAGTTAGATGCATGAAAGGTCATCCATTTGAAACTGAAAGAAATCTTTCATTGAGAGGAGCAAGCAGCAACAATAATAATAGTCAATATAGCACGCAGGTTGAAAAATAAATACCTTCCCCACATTTACCAAAAGAGAGAGAGAGAGAGAGCAAAAAGAAAGAAGTTTCAACAATGGATTGCATACCCAGTTGGAAAAACAGGGCCTTCAGCCGGCCCTTGTTGATACTTGACGCGTGCATACAGCTCCGGGAAAGAAACTGTCAATCGGTAAGTATGAAATTAATCGGTAAAATATTTAATTACAAGTATGAAATTCGATAGTTTAATCGGTAATTGAGAATTTGGATATGTATTTCCACACTGTTTTACCAAATTTTAAAATTAGATCTTACTCGATTTTCCTGAAATCCGTTTTACCGATTTCCGATCTAAATTGAATCAGCTGATTGTTTGATTTCTCCTGAAGTGCGTAGACTTGATTGCCGCTTCTGCTCTGAATAAACCTTCGTAATGTAATGCTTCCTCATGGTATGGCTGGATGAATACATGTACAAGTATTAATTAGCACGATTCCCCCAGATTAAAAAGCGATAATGTTCAAAGACACATATGCTAGCATTTTCCAAGGCTGGGCAGCGCCGCGCCATTGAGTTGCCTTCAGGTAATTATGTAGTTCTACTTTTACGGTCAAAAGTTTCCTCAACTGGTACGTTTACAAAGCAAAATCTATACCCCTAAGCTACAAATCGAATTTAAAGAATAGAGAATTGAAGCAAACAAGAAGAATCAACAAATCCATTTGCTCGCAGGCTTAGGGCCTGGAGCAAGAGGATATGCAACAGGCTACGAGCTTTGTTCCGCACCTTCCATAATCCCCGAGAAATTAAACATCAACTTGGGCAAGAATGAGCATACAAGCATGCTCTGACATTGAAATTTCATTTTCTTGCCAGCTAACCAAAAAGGAAAAATGCAAAGTCTCAGTTTAATGCCTCTTCCAAATCCTCATGCACTGTGGATAATCTGTCTTCTTCAACAAAAGATGGATCCAAAAACTTAGCCAAAAATGCCCACACTCTGTAGACATCTTCAAAGTTGGTCAAGAAACCGAGTGACACCGTAACAGCCTCAATCCGAAGGAGCGCATTTTCGTTGCGGCAATGGCTGTTGGACATTGGCTTACAAAAGGCTGCATCTTCAATCCATAATGCCCCATTCTGCTGCTTTGCACCGTTCGCTAAGCGTATGTGGCTAAGGATACCAACGCCAAGAGATATCCCGTGTCTGTCGGCCAATTTTTGAACAACTTCAGGATGAATAATCCCTCCTTTGCTGCTTGCTCTAACATTAAAAGCTATACTTGCGCCTCTTTCATACTTTATCTTGGGACCGTATATTTGCACGAGGGATGTTTTAACACCTTTGTCAAAACTGGGAAACTGAAGCTGAAGTAACGAGATAACCAACCAGTTAACCAGATACCTCAGTCTGAGAGTTGTTCTGTTAAGACCTAACATGTTAACATGGTCAAGATGGCGGCAGAAAATCTCAGGCTCCCTTCCATTCCATTGCTCATCACCATATTCACCTTCATGGATGGATTCAGCATCAACCAAACTGTTCACAGAAGGTTCCCCTGGTTCAAAAGAGGACTTTGGATTTACAATCTGGCTATCATCCAAGCTAAACGATACCCTACTGCCCATGCCAGCAACTCTGTCACCATCTTCCAGTCCGAAAAATCTGCCTCCAGTGTATCCATTCCTTTCTCTCCTCCCCAAAAGCCTAAATTCACCCTCTGTCTCTCTTCTTATGGCACTTTCTTTTCTTTCTGGGCAAAGCTCAGATGTGGACGAAATCTCAAGTTTGCTATGCTGTAAGCCTGAATTTCTGTGCTTTGACCCAAATCCATTTGAAGCACAGCTCCATCTAGAACATGCTATCCTCGATTCCAGAGAACTTTCATTTTCTTCCTGAATCTCTCTGATATTTGTGCCATTGGCATAGTTTCCAAGCTTTTTCAAATTTGGCTCTGTTTCTGAAAGGGATTCTTCTTCAGGGATTCCCTTAACATGGTCCAGGTCCTGTGATACCGACTTCACAGCAGCATCAAAAGATAAGACATGATCTTCGTGCTTTCTGAAACTTAACCTCTTGTCATCATGTATCGGACTTTCCGTATATTTAGACGTAGCCTTCAGAGAAAGTTGCTCATTGTTTCTCCTGGCAGGAAACAATGAGGGCCGCAGAGGTGAGTCTGATTTCTGTTTGGTTAATTGACTAGATTTATCAGACCCAATTGGACTTTGACCTAAATCAATCCAATACGAGTTCTCAGATGACTCGTCTTCACTGAAAATTGGACTCCTCATAACTTCCCCAACTGAAATGATATCGGCTTCCTCAAATGCTGTGCTTGCCCCATCCCTGTCTGAACTGTTATCTTGATCAATCTCTGTCTCAAAAACATCCCTGACCTGTGAGGCCGTATAAACACCAGAAAATGCTGGCAATTGCGGCCCTCCAGGCTTTTCTGGTTCAGTGTTTTCATTTTTGTCGTCTGCCTTTTCTTCCAAGCCCATTAATCCATCAAAGCCATCCAGAGAGTCACTAAGGTACTGAGGAAAATCAGGGACAATTCTCACAATCCCAGACCCCGTACGACCAGCTTGGTTTTGAAGGGTTGCCATCACAGATTTTTTTATCAAAAGGCATCCAAACCCTGTTGGATCATAACCAAATACCTTGTAGAATGATGTAATAATAAAATCTGGCCGGAAAAGGGACAAACCAAGTGAATCCATATCTTTAGGACCTAGTGAACCAGCATCCAGCAATACATGCCAGTTGTTTTGCTGTGCCATTGCCATCCACTGGTATGTATACTTGGAACCTGTAACTCTTGACTGAACAGGGAAAACAAAAAGCCCAACTGCAGAATCTTTCCTCCTTTTCTTCTTGTTTGAAATTTGTTTTCTCAACTCTCTAGAGCAGAGTTTCAAGGATGGCCATTTAAACCAGGCCCTGTACACCTTTGCACCCTTCTCTTTAGCACATTGAGCCATCCAACTCACAGACTGGCTCTCATGGTCAAACATAGTCAACAGCCTCTTGTTCGAATGGAAAGGATAAGATTCAGCCAGCAATTTAAATGCAGATCCTCGACTAACAGTAAAAACAAGTACATACTCATTCTCAGGAATGTTCAAGTAATCCATAATTTTGGTTTTAATATCATGCTCCACAGTACCTTCCTCTGCACCCCCATGAAGTGCATGATTGCTCAAATTTGCAGTAATTTCCTTTAAGCTAAATGCAGATGAATCCCAATACTGTAGCGTTTGAAAATAAGAAAACAACCCGTAACCACAGTAATCAAGGCATACCTTTGCACCTGGATCACATAGGTGACTGTACTCATCTGATCTCAATTGGTCAATTCTTTCTGAACATTGGAACTTTGGGTACAAAGTCAAGAACTTATTGAAGGCTTCATTAAAGTCAGGAATGGATTCTTCAGTGCAAAATGTCCTATCAGCCAAAAGAGCAGTTGCCCTCAAGAATTCCTTCTGGGCATTAAGCCTTGCAAGAGATCTTGACCTTCCCAAGTAGCCATCTTGATTCAAAGACTCAGAATCAATTTCATGTGATTTTGCCAATGACCCATCTTCAGAAGCCTCCTCAAGAGCCTCCCTTAGTTTGTTCTCCGGCAAATTCTTGAGAGTTGATGGCTTTGCCTTACCCCACTCCTCCTCCTCCTCCACCCAAGAACCTTTTCCTCTCCTGCTCTTCTTGTCCATCATCAAGGCTGCACAGAATGATATAGGTTTCCATAGTGAAAGATGCATTAACACGAATCTTTCTTGGTTTCTCCAAAACCAATCTGACGACTTTCCACAACGCAGAACAAATTCAAGAAATGAAAATGTTTTTCTTTTTTTTTCAATATCAGTAATTTATTCTTTGGCCGAAATTCTGCTCTGGAAACCTGAAATATTCAAGAACAAGAATAGAATAATCTATATGAGTTTAGACTTGGTCTAAAAGAGGAGAAAGGGCAAAAGAAAAGAAAGGCAAAGAGAAGAAGCATGTTTTTGGGATCAAACCTTTTTAACTGCATTAAAGGAAGGAAAAACCCTAGCTTTAGCATCCTCCAACAAGAGCAGTTTTGTGTTCAAAATATTCAACACCTACCCATTTTTAAGCATTAGTAGTAGTTCAACAACAGAAACCAGGTGCTAACCCCACCCAAGATTCCACGCCCAGATTCAAAGCCATCCCAATTGAATTACCCAGCTAAATCATTGTTTGTAACTGCTACATATGCCCAACTCAGAAATGTAAAAGAAACAAAAGGACCAAAAATCAAGCGCTGCCCAGAGACAAAAATGGACTTCCAACTGAAGAGGTGGACGAAAACAAAAACTAGTAAAATCTATGGGAGGGAGCAATAGCAGTTAGAACAACCACAGTAATCCTAGTTATTGCTAGTAAGAAGGTGCTAATAAAGAAAAACTACTACTACAAGTAGGAGTAGATCAATTCCCACCAACTTCTTTCCTCCCTGTCCCTCTCGGTCGTTGGAAGAGCTTGGCCGTATAGCCTGTAAGAGCAGTGGTAGAAACTGTGAAGGAGGCACGCGAAAGGGAATCCCAATTCAATGCAACCCCATTTGCATTAAATTCCTCTCATTTACTGCACTGGTCTATTCATACGTGTCTGCGTTGAATGCTTCTCCGTCCCCATTTTTGCTTTGTTTTTCTTTTTTTCGTTTCGGTGAATTACGGCTGGTCCATACATTACTTTGGTTGAACAAATTGTAGGAGGAGAGGGGCAAAGAAAGTTACTTGTTAGCTTTAAGCCCATTTTGAACTCGTTTTTCCCCCTTTTTGCCAGTTTTTTTTTTTTTTTTATTCTTTTCGTGAAGTATGGCTGATACATTTATCTTGGTGAAACAAGTAAATTTTAGGAGAAGAGTAGTAACAAAAGTTAAGATTTAGTCTTAACGGTAAATTTTTTTACTAGTTTATAGACCATGTGTAAATTATATTAGTGTAAACCAACACATTATTTCGCTTAAAAATAAATTTCAGGAGAAGAGTAGTAACAAAAGCTAGTAGTTATTTTTAAAGATTAATTCTTGGTGGTTTGTAGACTATATATAGAATTTCAAACTCAAATCCAAATTGATATGAAAACATCTTGCATTTAAACACGTTGATATATATTGAAACGATGTGGGATCTGCTCATACACGTTGGTGTATAAATTAGAATTAATAATTATCAGTGTATCAAAGATTAATGCTAATTTTAATTCCTTTTTGGACGAAAAATTTTGTGCTCATTTTTACTCGTTGCCTTGTTACATTTGGGCAGAGAGGCAAAAACACGGGAATATAAGCCTTGGCTTAGATAGTCAATCATACTTACTGGCAGTCTGGTACAGCCCCGGTACAGCTCGGTGGGGACATAGATGATAGGAGCTGCACCACTAGCATATGGACAAAGCAGCAAAACTGGGTCCCAGAATCCTTGAGGTCAAATTTTTCTGGTTTTACTTTTGCAGGATAGTTTTAGAATTTCTTGACGCTGATGGGTCAGGCAGATTTTGCATTTTGGACTTTGGTGCGCTAATAGCGCCTCGCTTCAATTTTATCTTTAGTTTTCGAGACTTCCGGTTACGTGAGCAAAATGAATTACAAAACCCTTTTGACTTCAGACTTTTCTTAATCTTATCCTTCTTAGTGGGTTGGCCTTGAATTTCTAATACACCATATATATAATGTATCTTCAAGGAAATAAAAAAAAATCCGTTGATTTGACCCTTAGTAAATCCGATGATTGTTGTTTGATACGACTATATATTCATATGAGTTTAATATTTTTAAGGTCGAGTTCGACTTGATTAGTTCGAACTCGAGTCGAGTTCGATACTAACCGACCTCGAATCGAACTCATATTCGAGCCGTTTGTAGCCCTAGTCTCGTTTGGATAGATTCCATGTTTAAAGATCTAGTAGCTCAAATCGTACTACACCATCTCGTTAAAATGACGTGGTAAAATCTAATCAATTAAATTTTTTAAAAATCATGCCTATCCAAATTTTGATCCATATTCACAAAGAGTATCATCACAAGTTAAAAGCGTGGTTCGCATAGGATTAATGAAAATCACCATAAACCGCCTATTATACAGGTGCCATATTTCAAGCTTTTATCTTCTTCTTCTTCTTCTTTATTTAAAAGCAAGAGGGAAAAAAAGACGGTTGATTTGAGATAAAGCAGTAGCAGTAAAGCAAAAGGAAGCAGAGGGGACGATTATAAGTGAAGTGACGGAGAGTGGAAATGGCGGACGAGTGCGGTGGCCTCGTGCATGTCTGCCTCCGCTGAGCTGTGTCGCCAATATTTCTTCAAAGCGGGTCAAGTCAACCCCACCACGTACTTCTTTTGAATACTTAATTATTTTTTTATAAAATAAAGTCAATATTATTATTACATAAGTTAGTTTAAAATCGTTTCAACACAAATTTGCTTGATAAAGAAATCTATACTAAGATTACACCGTAAATCACAAATCAACGATCTAACCAATTATACAAGTTGTTTCAAATTTAAGCAATCATACCGTAAATCACAGACTATCAAATTTAAGCAATTGTACAAGTTATCTTCACAAATATTTGTGCATGTATGTTATCTCAAATCCGACCTTTTCATGAGTACTTAATTACTCGTACTAATATTTATTTATTTAATTGTGTTACGATTACGTGAAGAACAATGGACCGTTCATAAATGTCGTCTAATTTTTTTTAAAGTACTATTACGACTTCATTACTATAAAAACACTTAAAGACTTCTCCCTCATGTGATTGACCTGACCTTTTGATTGCTTAAATTACAAATGCCGTTCCCTGCTCGATCGACGTTGACCTAACTCATGAATAGAGGTATAAAAATAGGTGATTTGGATGGGTTAAAATGGGTAATAAATATAAGTGAGTCAACTCATTTATACTCATTTAATTAGATGGATATAAATGAGTAAGTCAAAAAAAAAGTTGGATAACCCAATTATCCATTTACAACCCATTTATTCCAACCCTTTACAAACTTGTCTAAATTTATTTTGTAAACTAAATTATATATTTAGATCTCCCATTGCAGTTTGCACCCATCATTAGTTTTAAATATTTACTTGTAATGCTCAAAAGTCTAATTATCGTTTTCCCCATTTGTGTTTTATGTCATAAAATTATATACTATTTAATAATTGAACAATAAGAATATTTTTGTTGTGTAATATGGAAAGGATTTGGAACCATGAAAAAGAGAGATTAAATAGTGATTGACCAGCTTATGAACTTGGAACTGGATACCAAGAAAATACAAATGAAAATAGGACAGAAAAATTTCCAAGTGTATAGTTATTCTTTAACTTTAAATTAAAAAAACTGGCCAACAGATTCTCCCATCTTTCGGTTAGGTCATCCCCTTTTTTATGCTAACTTTGGTCAAAGGTGATGAAGAAATCAGGACACTATTGCTAAAGATAATTCTAAATGGATGTAATTGCAAAGACAATTCTAAATGGATTTGATGGATTATCCACTTTTTAATTGAAAAATGCAGTTATCTTTTAATTTCTCTAAAATACCCTTATTCAATGTAAGTTGTTATTACTATAAATTACAATATTTAATATAGATTGTTATTGAATAGAACTTGCCTCATTTAATGTAAAATGGGGATTGACTCTTTCTTATCTATCAATTCAAATTTCTATAAAAACCATCAATTCAAGTTTTCATGAATAATTAATGTAGAGTTGTATTCTATTTAATGTAAGGATATTTTAGAAAAATAGCAATCTAAATTTATTTTTCCAACAAAATTAATTATTTTTTCTTAAATTGTGTGAAAAAAAAAACTAAAACTATCAAAATGGGAGAGAGAGAGAGAGAGAGAGAGAGTAATTAATGGTTTCTTTGTCTGTAAAGTCTTTGTTTCAATGGGTTAGGTTGCTGTAACGTTCTGTCCACTTAAACAATGGAAGCCACTAGCAATTTTTTGCCGGTTAAGCTGGCTTTTAAAAAGCAAATTTGGCCCATTTGGCACTTCCTCCAAAAGTATGTTTAATTAGGCCATATACGGCTGCTCAATTAATATACTTCTTGCTCGAAGGGGATGCACTAAGTATTGTTCAAAGGATTAATATCAAGGAACCCGACTTGTCTTTGATAGGCAACTTAATTCATGGCATCAGGTCCATGCTGCATTCTTTTGATTTCGTTAAGATTAGTCATGTGAGGAGGACCAATAATTTCCCCGCCCACATTATGTCCAAGTCATCGTTATCCTTTGAGGTCCCAAGCCAGCTACTGATGCTGCTCTTGTTGATTTGCAATGAATGGGATTTCCATTATCAAAAAAAAAAAAAAAAAAAAATTATTAATATGCTAAGCCCGTCGTATCCAGTACTCTAGTCTAGCTACCTACGTACAAAAAAGATTCGACCACCGTTTAGAATGTCATGTTATAATAACAACCAGACTCTTTAAGGAAATCGAGCCATTTCATGCTTAGTCTCAATAATCTGTCATCGGTCGATTCTGCCCAATAATTCTTTATAATGGCCATTTCGTGGATGGTGTCTCATCCCATCCTTTCTTTTACAACACAATGTTGGCTTCTCGCTGCACATTATTATGGCTTCAAAGTGCGATTTGAAGCATAAAAGGAGAGTTATACTTATAGAGAGAGTGTTTCATGCACGGCCTACGAGATTGTAGAGTTCATGCATGATTAACAATAATGCAATCTCCTTTAAAGGTTGCTTTTGGGGTGGTCATATTTTTTTTTATAGAATATATTTGTCAATTTCACCTACCAAAAAGTAGCATTGTAATGATGTAAAATTCATCCATTTGACTAATCTTTCTCTTGCCTCTATGTTAACCATTTCGTTATGTATGCCATTTCGTTAACCATGGCTTTCTTGAAGGTAATGAAACGAAATATACATCAACCCCTGAAAAGATTTCCTATGCATGAACTTGAAACTGAGCGCTTTTATGCTCCACACCACCTCACAGATTACTGCCCAGGCCCCTTTATCTCTTTTATCTCTTTATGTCCATGGAGATGGAACTCTCAAAAAGGCCACTCTTTGTCCTTTTCTTAAGGACTCTGTCGCTCTTTTTTTTTTTTATTGTTAATTAATTTTATTTTTCAGTTCTATCCGACCCAGAAAATAGTGGGCCGGGTTGGCCAGTTAACAGAGTCCACCACAACATGCAGGCGGGTTAAGGGCTACTTCATCTGACATTGGAAGCCCAAGTTACGCAACAAATCCAACGGCCTTTTACTGCGTAGGCTGTCTCTGGCGGTTATTCTGCGTCCAAGTTCTCTCTTTTTTCGCGGTCTTCTTTGAACGCAAGCTGTTTTTCGATCAACTAAATAATCACCTGCCAACTTCCATTACAAAAAATTTTCCTCAAATTAGATACCTTACCAACTTCTCCCCCAATACATGCGCAAATGCCTAGCTTGTCGGAACCAATATCAGATTCAAGTTCTCATGACGAAATTTGTGCGGTCAAAATCTAATATATATCCTAGACAATACTGCAGAGCCTCTCAGATGATGGTTTAGTCTCGAATCATTTTCTAACCTCACATTGTAACACCCTGAATTCATCTTCTATAGAGACTCTTGGGGGCTACCCCTGGCAGCTTGGCATTGCGTTCTCATAAAAAATGCAGGGTTCCAGCTGCTTCATCCTTTCTCTCCTCCTATTTTCTCCCATAGTATCTTCACTTTCTTCTGCACTTTCGGACGAAGAAGCATCAGTAATTGCTGAGGGCCAATTCTCAACCCTTCCTGAAAATGGCGACTTACCTGATGATTTTGAGTTTAAGGTAGACGTTCAAGTTGAATGTCCAAATCCAAGGCTTCGACGTGCCTACATTGCGCTCCAAGCTTGGAAAAATTCCATACATTCTGATCCTTCAAATTTTACAGGCAATTGGGAAGGACCTGATGTTTGCAGCTACAATGGTGTATTTTGCGCAACTGCCCTTGATGATCCAAATACAACAGTTGTAGCCGGCGTCGATCTCAACCATGCTGATATTGCAGGCTACCTTCCTGTTGAATTGGGATTGTTGAAAGATGCAGCTCTTCTTCATCTGAATTCCAATCGTTTTTGTGGGATTGTTCCCAAAAGTCTGTCCAAGCTCGCATTATTGCATGAGTTGGACATAAGCAACAACAGATTTGTCGGCCCTTTCCCTAAATCAGTCCTTTCGATGCCTAGGCTTAAGTACCTCGACATCAGGTTCAACAATTTTGAGGGAGAGTTGCCTCCTCGACTTTTTGACAAAGATCTTGATGCATTATTCCTGAATAATAATTGGTTCAATTCATATATTCCCGAGAATCTCGGGAAATCTCCAGTTTCTGTGGTGGTATTTGCAAATAACAAGTTCAAAGGCTGCATTCCGTCTAGCGTTGGTAACATGACAAACACCTTGGATGAAATTATATTCTTGAAGAATGAACTTTCAGGGTGTTTGCCAACAGAAATCGGACAGCTGAGGAATACAACTGTCGTCGATGTTTCATTCAATTCATTCTCTGGCATCCTGCCGAGGACATTCAGTGGCCTTGAAAGGGTCGAGTTCTTGGATCTTTCTCACAATATGTTGACAGGCTTTGTTTCTGATGCCGTTTGCCAGTTGCCAAGTTTGTCAAACTTCTCATTTGCATACAACTACTTCAACGGAGAGGGAAAAGCCTGCGTCCCAAATTCTAGGAAAGATATTGCAGTGGATGATACAAGCAACTGTTTGCCAGACAGACCGAAACAAAAGTCCCAGAAAGAATGCAATCCTGTGGTGAGCAAGCCGGTAGATTGTAGCAAGGCCAAATGTGGTGCGTCAAAGCCTTCGCATAAAGAAAGCCCTGCTGGGAGGTCTAAGCCGCCAAAACCACAGCCTAAACCATCACCAAATCCACCAAAATCGCCTCAACCAAAGCCTAATCCTCCGCCAGTTGTAAAGCCACAACCTCCAAAATCAGCCCCTCATCCTCCACCGGTTGCAAAACCACAGCCTCCAAAATTATCCCCTCATCCTCCACCAGTTGCAAAGCCACAACCTCCAAATACTCCGCCAGTTACAATGCCATCACCCGTCGTCCATTCTCCTCCACCACCAGTAGTAGTCCACTCCCCACCTCCTCCAATCTATTCCCCGCCACCACCCGTCTTACATTCCCCACCCCTGGTAGTCCACTCCCCACCACCTGTGGTCCACTCTTTACCCCCTCCAACTTATTTCCCACCACAACCCGTTGTTCACTCTCCTCCCCCACCACCTCGTGACTACTCTCCACCACTACCCGTTTCCTCTCCTCCTCCTCCGCCACCTCCATATCAAGATGTCGTACTTCCGCCAACTATTGGTGCGGTCTATGCATCACCACCTCCACCAATATTTCCGGGATATTAGCTGATACTAATAAACTGATGGGTTTTACTTAAATTACCAGTAACACCACCAGTTTTGCTAACCAATAGCACTAGTAGTTATTAGAAGAAACAGAGGGATTAATTTTACCAATTCAAAGTGGTATTTTGGTCGCGTTCCTATGATTCAGGATACGAAATGTAAATTGTATACTACCTATTACAACTGTAAATAGACAAATCAATTAAACCCAGGATGGCCTGGTGTTGTGGTATGAACCAGATGATTCACTACTGTTTCACGGAGTCAACAGATTTGCTTACTTTTAGATTATCATATTTTGTCTTATAACTAGTTAAAGAATGTCAGTTATCCACTTATCCTGCCCAGAATGTCCGGTTGTATTGCATCTATCAGGTTTTGGCAGTTCTCTAAAAACGGTGCAAACAAATGCAGAGCATTTTGGAAGTGGAAGACTGATTGATTCTTTCTTGTATTGTTGTTTTGGGACAGTGATACAGTGCCTATAGTTATGATAACGATATTAGAGAAACTGTTATTATAGATTTCTATTACCTTTAGTGACAGATCAAATCTTTTAGTGACTTTTTAAATATTATATTAAAATAATTAATATTAACTTTAGTAAGTTTTTAATTAAAACTAGTAAGTATATGCCTGAAAGATAAGATTTAGTCAGAAATAGAAATTTACACTTTGAGTAATTTAATTTACTTATTATTTGACAAAATTTACTTATGTTTAAATTAAACTTACCAATACTAAAAGTAAAAAATGTACATATTTAAGTAAAAAAAACAGTTTTGGATTCCTGAAAACGGTTTTGGGTACCACATTTCTCTTTAAAGTTATCTACCTTTTTCTTATTCAGTTCTTAGTTCCAATGATACGATTGAATTCCCAGGCAAAGGTTTCCACTTTGATCCACACTTTCCCTTTGTTATAATTGAATAAATCTTCTCACTTCAAAATTTTCATCTTTAGTTCACACTTTGCTTCTATCCTTTCTCATCGTTCGGTTGGGTTTGAGTGCTGCCATATGCAAACACAACAAAAGGGTTAGCGACGGTGGTAGCCAGCCAAAGAGCATATGAAAAATAGCAGTGACGAGGTTAGATCATCATGTTCTCTTGAAATCGTTTGATTATCTTGCTGTAATTTATTTATATTTCATTTGTTTTGTTTGTCAAGGTTTTATTGGGAAATCAAGGCTGAGAATTTGAAGATTTTATTGCAATTTTGGGGCCGAAAATGTCTGTTGAAACATCTAGGAAATGGTTGTAGTTTTAATTGTCTACGGGTAAAATATGTTTAATAGCCATGTGAAACATTTAGGAAAGGACTTGAGACCAGGCGTTTAAGTTAAATGTGATTAATTTGTAAATGCATATAAGATGTTTGGTGAAATGTCAAAGAGAAATTTGTATGTTGTGATTGCTACTTTGTGCGGGTGAGAATTACTAATATATTAGTAACTCAACATGAGCTTTATAACTTGAATTCTTCAGGCAAGAGAGGTTTCTCCCGTTTTGGAATTCTAAGTTGATACGCTTGATGGAGCAGATGTTATTGAACTGAACTGATCTAGAATCATTGTTGCGAATCTGTTGTTTCTATGAAAATTTATTATCAGCCTCTTGAATTTTTTAGTCCATGTTAACGCCTGCAATGCCACGGAAATTTGGTCATCTATGGAAATTTATTATCAGTGTCTTGAATTTTTTACTCCATTGTAACGTCTACAATGCCACGAAAATTTGGCCATTATTACTCTTGTAAATCTGTGTTGCAGAAGCAATTCTTATTACCATCCTATGATACATGTAGATTTTGTAGAATCACATCTTCCCTCTTCTTCAGTCAGGAAAGGAGAGAAAATTCATAGAACAGTTTCCGACCATCAATCAATTATGGTGTTATACATACTTCATATTTTTGCATTTTTTTTGTTTATTTTTCTTTTGAGTGGTGTTGCATGGGGCAAACCTGCGGAATCCAGTGGTCTTTGAGCAAAGGATTGTCAAATGCTGGTTGTTGATACGTATAGACACAATCAATTATATCACCGTCTTTGCTCTGTCATGAGAAAAAATTTTGAATTTCATTGTAAAGAGCCAAAGGCATTCAACATAATCTAATCTACCTACCCGCAAATTTGTGACTTTCATTGAACTAAGGATTAGATTATGCTGGTTGTTTCGATATTTTGGACATGTGAATAACTCATCTTCCTCCTAAAAAATTACTAATACGTAAACCCTTACCGGGAGAGTCAAAATAGCTTGTTAATGCCATTGCTATATCATAACGATTAGACTGGAATATAAATCTGTTGAATGGGTTGATTGGAACAAAATTCAGATGAATGGTTTATATGAGAATTGAGGTTTTCAATTAGTTTGATGATGGTTTGTAATATAGGGGGAATGGAGTTCTAATCATAAAATACCTAGAAAAGAAACGGGTTACCAAGTCGAGAAGATAAGTAAGTTCTTAATTAAAACTAGTAAGTATATGCCTGAAAGATAAGTTTTAGTCAGAAATAGAAATTTACACTTTGAGTAATTTAATTTACTTATTATTTGACAAAATTTACTTATGTTTAAACTAAACTTACTAATACTAAAAGTAAAAAATGTACATATTTAAGTGAAAAAATCACTGGGTTTCTGAAAATGATTTTGGGTTGCTGAAAACGGTTTTGGGTTCCTGAAACACTTTCGGGTATCACCTATCTCTTTAAAGTCATCTGTCTTCTTCTTATTTAGTTCTCAATTCCAACGATACGATTGAATTCCCAGGCAAAGGTTTCCGCTTTGGTCCATGTTTTCTATTGGTCCAATTGTTGTTGCTACAAAGGGACAAAAGGCAAAATAGTCCACTCACAAGCGAAAACGAAGACGATGCAAAAATTGCAAGTAATCACATACTCTTAAAATTGACTTATTCTACGGTTAGAATAGCTTTGCAAAACCAGATATGAATGAGCAATGCTAAATTTCATCCACTCATTGGCTTTATGTTAGAAGGCCAAAAATGTTAGTTATACATGTACACTTCATATACGCCTTTATAAATTCAATCTTTTTGTTTATGGATTGTGCTTGGCAATTTTTTTCCCGCAGGTCATTTGGACATGATAGACGAAAATGTACTAAGGTGTGCACAGATGCATATGAAACTCACAATTATGATCATGTTGGGGCACCCAATTATGTTGAGAATGTAAATTTGAATCTGATAGGATCATCCGATGGCCTATTGCAATCAGATTCACAGCATGGATGCAATAAGGAATTAATGGATAGTAATTGGTTTCAGATCATTCCTCCTGGTCAAGTAATGTATAGCTTGCTTTTATTTATTTTTGTGTGAAGGCGTGAAATATAATGGTGCTCTATTTGCATTTGTATAGGCATTAATGTGGGCATGCAATCCTTCATTAATCCAAAGTCATGTACAAAACACTAGCTTGTCAGGAGACGAAATGTATTCAGGTACATTTTTCCTTCTTCACGCCTAAGTTTTATGTTATTTATTTGCTATGATTATGTGTTGTTGTGGCCTTTTTTTAATACAAATCTTGTGATGGTTTTGTAGTGAATGAACCAGATTTCAGCCAAGACCATTAAGGAATTTTATTCTTGAGAGAGTACAAATGTTTTTGCACGTCTTTGCTCAAAGCTTTTAGGATGATTTAAGTTTCTTCGAAGGTAGTTTAATGCGTTTTGATTGTAAATCTGAACATAATCTCCTTAGTTTGCAATTTCTGGTGTTTACTTGTTTTAATGTGAATAATTTCAGCTTGCTTGGAAAAAAATTTGGTGATCAAATTTCAGATATTGTTAGCATCCAAGTGCTCTTGGGTTTGTAAACCAGAAATGTCAATCCAAACTGAAGCTTTTGATAGTGATATCAGAGCCCTTGATGCTGGTGATCAAATTCTCAAATCAAGTTACTAGCCTTTTGATTGCTTCAGATTTCTGAAGCCAAAGTCTTTGTGCTCTAAATTCAGTTCTTGGCCATGTAATATTGTCATGCTTAGATAGCTATATCTAGTGTCCTACCAGCTTAATTTTGATGCGTAAGTATCAATTATTAAAAGTTAGATTCATTCTGATGCTCAAAATGAGCCGTTTTCTCCTATTTTGAAATACCAATTTCATATCAAATGTCTTATGCATGTAGATTTTGTTGTTTACTTCAAATTGGACTGGCTTACTTGATGAGCAGAACTCGAAAAGCAACTCAAATACTCATATTATACAATACTCAGCACACGGTTTTTTAGGCTTTAAAACGTCATTAATGAAAGTTACCCATTCGGTTGTTTAGGAATGTTAGGAGATTCGTCAAATTCAAATGACGATGCCTGAAACTTGTACTTATCCCCAAATTTGTGTTGTAGTACAGTATCAAGATCTTGCACCTATTCCATTCACCTATAAAAATTATTATTATCATAAAATGACATTTTATAATAATTTACATACTATTTGCCAATTAAAAGCAAGTTTCATAAAAAATATGCATGTAAATCCATATTGTGAATGATACGAAATATATTTGAAACTCACGAAACTTAATATATGGGTAAATTTACTATAATTTTAAAAGATTACGCTACGTTAGATACGATCACTTTACCTTTTATACTTGTGACCTAGAAAATAAATTTATTAAAACACATAACATTTATAAATGATGCATACTGACAGGTCGTCAGCCTGTGCAATAATAAAATTAAACCTAATTGCCAGTTAAAATGACCAAAATCCAATTTCAAGTACTGGAGCAGGGACTCTAGGTGTGCAATGGGTTACTTGATTCACCCTGTTCCCGAAGAGTTTGCTTGATCCGATATACCCGAATGGAATGGTTATTCCTTTTCACAAATGATTAGGAATTTGTAGACATGGCAAGTAGGGTCGTATCCACAGAGATTGGGTATATTTGTTTCTTAAGAAATCCAAAGTAACACAGGGGGTGATTTTGTAGGAATGACGATAATTAAATAAATT